ATAGTATATTATTCAGGATCTCCAAAGACACAGACCCACAAGAAGATTCTGTGCACACGTGTACACACATGCACACACGTGCACACACACACACACACATATACATAGAGTGCAGAAGGGGCAATGGAGTTTGAGGAATAGGCTTGTGCAATTGTAGAGTTGGCGAGTTCACGTCCTGCAGAGGAGGCTGGCAGTTGGAGACCCGGAGAAGTGTCCATGCTGCAGTTTGAGAGCAAGAGTTGCTTTTGGCAGAATGACTTCTTCCTTGCAGGAGGCTGGTCTTTATCTGAAGGCCTCTGACTGAGTAGATGAGGCCCATCCACGTGGGGAAGGTGCTACGGTTTGAATGTGCCCCCAAAAGTCCATGTATTGGAATCATAATCCTTGAAGTCGGAGCCCGGTGGTAATTGGAGGTGGGGTCTTTGGGACTTGGTTAGGGTTAGATGGAGTTAGATGGATTCTACACTACATAGCCTCGTAGAATGAAGCTGCTCCAGGATCTTGGAGATGAGGAACAGCAGGAGGAGAGCGGCAGGTGCTTCTTAGTCCCCATCACATACACCCGAGGCCCCCAGGGAGTCCTGCCGACCTCACACACAGCAGGGGCTGTCCACTCCCCTGCAGTGGGGACTGGCGCAGAGGGCCATCAGCTCTTGCTGGGGGGATTGGCGCAGAGGGTCATCAGCTCTTGGGCTTTGCAATACATCTCTGGAGAGCTCATTTTGAGATCAAGCAGGGCCTCCTGGATCTCAGGACTGGGGAGCTTTGCGGGAACACAGAGTGACCTCCCGCCCGCCCTCCTGGTCCTTATGGACAGGCTGAGGGAGGGCCTGAGTACCAAGCTGAGACCATCCCAAAGTTGACAGGAGGCTATGACAGTTGTGCTTCTGATGCTTGGTACAGGGCTGAATCGGGATCTTGATCCCACAAGATCATTTACAATTATCCATTCCAATCAGCTGCCAAACCTAAACTGCTCAGTAACGGGTCTCAACCCACTATCTGGTCTTAAGAATATTTCATTTTAAAGTTTAATTTTATCTATTTATTAGCTTCATTTTATTTATGTAAATAACACTTTCTGGCCATATTAGGAACCAGCCACTTTGGAGAATATCCCCCACATTTAACTGGAGAATGGGTGCGAAAGCTACATGGTCTTGCGCACAAAGCCAGCGGCGAGTGTACCTTGGACACCTTCACCACTTCTGTGCAAAGCCCGGCGATGGATGCCACCTTTGCCCTCTGGTGGCTAAGCAGACCCTGGTGGCCATAAAGAAATGTCTCTTGGGATGATCCTGTCACAGGCCTCTCCTGTTTGTGTAATTGTAAAGTGAAAACAGTGGCAGCAGAAGGGGCTCAGGCGGAATTAAACACTGAACCCCCACCCCCGGGAGGCCCCACCCCCAGGGAGCCCAACCTCCCGAGAGGCCCCACCTCCCAGCCCCCCCACCGTACTGAACGTGGGAGATTCTCTCCCAGGATCAGTCGCTGAATCACTCTGCCCAGGACAGTTTTCTGCTGCTTTTCTAAAGGGAATATTTAGTGAGAAGTTAGCCCATGCTTCCCCACCCACGATGGATTATCACTAATGTCCCAGGGAGGGGGTTGGAGGGGACGTCACCATATGATATATGGCACAGGGACCAGCCGGAAGGCCAGGACTGGGCAAGCAGAGAGCTGGAGGTCTCAGCCGCGTGGCTACAAGGAGGACTTGGCCTGGGAGCTCTTGAGAAGGTGCTCTGCCTTCAGGGCCCCATGGAAGTCACATCATGAGACACAAGCCAGGCCACAGCACCTGGGAACCCCGCGTATCCCAGCTCAGGAAAGGAAGGGACAGTCGGATGGACCAGCCTGGAATAAAAGGGAGATGGGCCTCAGAATTCCCCAGAACCAGGGCCTGGTCCCCTCTCTTCCCCTGCATTTTATTTCAGCCACGGGCCCAGCCACCTGGATTCTACCCGTGGTCTGAACCCAGAGGCAACAGTTCCCCAAATGCTGGTGCCTGTTTCTGTCGAGGACAGCTGGGGACAGACACACAAAGCCAGGTGTTTCAGGGAAGGAAACCACGATCCTGCCTGGGTGGGCAGGCACACTGTCGCTAGGGAGCAGGGACAGGGTGAGCATGGTGGAGGAACAACATGGCAGCTCATTCCCCCACAGAAAGTCCTCAACCATCAGCCCACAGAGCTCCACGTGGGGCCCGCCTCCGCCTCCTCCATGTTGTCACCAACCTACAAAGCTTAGACGCCGGCCTAGCCTCTGTGACCTCTGGTCCCTTATGTGCCAGAGAGACGCCATCTTGAATGCAGGTGGGGTTGAGGGGAAACAGCTGTCACTGCTGGGGACACAGAGACGAGAACAAAGATATCTCCAGTCAGAATGTCCCCGCCGCCGATCAACATATTCCTCACCTCAACTTCACGCCCTTTGATCAGCGTCCTCCCCTCCCCGGCCTGCTCCCCACTCCCGCATCTGGTAACCACCTTTGTGCTCCGTTGGGTGGGACCGACTTCTTTAGATTCCACACACAAGCCAAGATCATGTCACATCTGTCTTCCCGTGCCTGGCTGATTTCACTTTCATGAGCACGTCGATCAGGACACCACATCACAGCCCATAAATATGCACGTCGCCATTTGTCAATTAAAAATGAATTTTTCAAAAGAAAAAAAAATAGGGAAATTTATCCATTCACTGCCCTCTCCCCCCACCCCCCCAAAAAAAAAAACCTAAATTGGCTATGATTTATATAAAGAGGAGAAGGCACCTCAGGGGTGGGGGAGCTTGAGGAGTCCGTGACAAGCTGGTTTCAGCCTGTTTCAAATGCATACAGTGCAGTGGTGCCCCCTGTCCACGGGGGCCACGTGCTGAGATCCCCACTGGACACCTAGAACCACAGACACACCAAGCCCGGGACACACTCTGGTTTTCCTGTGTCTACACATCCTATGATTCCGTTGATGGTTTCATTGATAAATTAGGCACAGTAAGAGGTTAATAATAATAATGATACAATCGAAAGAGTACGACAATACGCCAGGGTGAGCACTGTGTGCATGATCTCTCTCTGCAGAAAAAGGAAAGTCTTCATTTCTTATTGTGGTTTGGTAACATTTACAGTGATATTTTCAGATCCTGGGTAACTGTTGCCAAGGAACATGAAATGGCAGGTGAGGGAGGGCCACGTGCCCGGGCTCCCCAGGCACGCTGCACCCATACCCGTGGACACGCACACTCGTCTCTGTGGGAAGAGCTCTGGACGGGGAAGGTGACGAAACCTCTGTGGCTCCTGCCTCTGCCTGTATGAGTCTGGACACCTCCCCGTGGTGATCTGGTAGGTGTGGAAGGTCACTTCGGCTCGCAGTTGTGGAGGTTGGGGTCCACGATCAGTTGGCCTTGCTGCCCCTGGGCCTGAGGGAGGCAGCACTTTATGACAGGAGCATCTGGCAAGACCATGTACCTCCTGGCCAGGAAGAAACCAGAAGTGAGAGAGAGAAGAGACTGGGTCTCCCCACCCCCTTTGAGCGCACCCCACAGTGACCTAAAGACCTCCCACCAGACCAGCTCATGAAGGTCCCACCATCTCCCAAGAGCACCAGGCTGGGGACCAAGACTTTACACATGGACTCTTGGGGGACACTTCTGATCCAACCACAGCATCAGCCTTGGCGGTAGAATGTCTCTGCTTCATTCATATGACATTCTGTGGAGCAAACGAAGTAGCCCAGATGACATCCACTCCAAGATGCACTTTGAATTCATGAGCACGGTGAGGAGGGCAGATTCGCCCTGACTGCCATCTGGGCTCTCGGGTTCCACCACTCATGTCACTGAGAGGTGCGGTCCCCTCTGCTCTAGGGAGCCCGTCGCCCTCCATGCTGTGCAGGAGGGGTCTGGTGTGAGGAGCCTAAAGTTTTCCAGGGAGAAGGAAAACTCAGGGGAAAAGGAAAGTGCTGGCTGCTGCAGGGGAGCTCGCCACCTCTCCCACAAACAGTCCCCGTGGAGCCCCTGTGACCTTGTGTCCAAGGCCGGCGGGCTGTCCAGCATGGGGCTGGCAGGTTCTCAGCCAAGGTCCCTCCTGGCAAAGTCCCAGTCTGCTCAGGTATAAAGGCCGCCTGAGAATCGCCAGGAGAATCAAGGCTGGAGGCTCCACAGCCAGGCCACAGGCCATCTCTATCCCAGAGAGCCACGTGGGACGCCATAGATCACCCCTCCATAGTGGGGTGCAGGACCCCAACCCTGGGCTCCGTCAACAGCTCCTGAGTGCTGGATGCCCTTTCCCACTCTCACAGGGAGCAAAGGACAAAGAATCTCATGCTGACGTCACCACCTTCTAGATTGTTCTCGGGCGGTCACACTGTGCCCTAGAGGCAAGGACGTTTGCGGGAGAGTCTTCTGTTTGGGGAGGCAAGTCTCAAAAGCTTGCAAGTTTCCCAAGGAAGGAGAGGTATTCCAACATGCCCCCGAAGCCCAGCACACATGTCCACAGGGACTCACCAGACGGGGTGGAGGATCTTCATGTGAGCTCAGCACAGTCACAGCACAGGAAGCCACTGGGGACCCTCCTGTCCCCTGTGTTCTGAAGGGCCCTGTGCAAGGCCCGTGGCCACTTGGGCAGACCAGCGCCAGCGCCTCTCCTCCCTCCTCCGCAGCCCTGGGAGTCCCGTGGCCCCGAGTTGCTCCCTTTCCATGCTCATCTCTATGGCTCCCTCGAGGCGAGCTTCGGAACGGGACAGGGCATCCGCGGGTCTCCTCTTTCCCTACCAGGGTCCCCATCTCCCCAGTGACACACAGGGGGCTGCCTTTTTCATTTGTTTTAATTGAGATAAAAGTCCCATAACAAAATCCACCACTTTCGAGCAGGCCGGGCACTAGCACTGAGCCCCTCACTGTCCCCACCCTCACCGCCATCTGGTCATGGGGCACTATTATCTCTCCTCAGGGACCCCTGTCCATCCAGCAAGCACAGCCCGGTCCCCCTCTCCCAGGCCCTGGCAGCCCTCGACCCGCTTCCTGTCGCGATGGACTCACCGTTCTGAGGCTTCATGTAAACAGGTCTGCCCGGCCGTGACCGTCCTGTCTGGCTTTCCCACGGAGCACGACGTCCAGCCCTCTCCTGCTGCAGCGGCTGTTTTTATGTTCACCTACTGTGTTCACCTGCCAGGGCTGCCACACCGGACACCTCCCACCGAGGGACATGCACTTTTTCTGGGGTCTGGAGGCCATAAGTCCAGGGTCCAGTGTGCGGCGAGGCTGCCTTCGTCGGGCCTCCTCCGTGGCTTGTCGAGGGTCTCTTCTCCCTGTGCCCCTCACCTCGTCCTCCATTTCTACCTGGGTCCAGACTTTCCCTCTGCACGTGGACACCCGTCATGTTGGACCAGGGCTCACTGCAGCACCTCATTTTACTTGATAACTGTGTAAAAACCCCGTCTCCAAAGAAGCTTGCATTCTGAGCTATGAGAGCTCAGGACTTCTTCAACACAGGAATGTTAGGGTCACACAATGTGACCCAAAACACATATTTTTCCACTAAAGATCAGAGGAAACAAGTAAAAGCTCCCGAGATATTGCCATCAGAGACAAGTCCAACAGCTCTGTACCCTCTAATTGCTTGAACTTGAACTTGATGGTTTTCAGAAGCCCACAACCCTGAGTGCTTCTCTGATCTCCTGTGTTCTTGAAGTCAGTCTCTGATCCCCTCCTTGTGGCCTCTTTCAGATCACATTTTTCTCCCTGAAGGCCTCCTTCCCAGGAATTTCCTGACAAGACTCTTGTGTGCCCTTTCCTTGCCCACAGATACCCTCCTCTGGAGGCTGCAGCTTGGCCAGGATGCCCACAGCAGCCTCTCAGTCCCAGGACCCTTGCACATGCCCCACACCCTTGACCTCTCCCTCCCAGATCTCAGGGACCTGACCTCTCATCAGATCCTACCATGAAATAACAAGTCCAATCAATTCCGTCTGTCCTGGCCACTGGGTGAGCCTCACAAAACAACCTGAGGTTCCCTGGCTACAGAACATGATATTGACAGGGATCCTGAGACCAGAGATTGATGACATCCCCCAGTCTCCACAGCTGGGATCCTCTGTGCAGAGAAAAATGTGAAAATGATCCCATCCCAACTCTCTTTCTGTTCCCTTTCCCTTGCAAGCACTTGGATTCTGATCTACTAAAGGGTAAAGGGACACAGCACAGGAAGAGAGACCAGGGTCCCTCCCTGAAGGGCAACCTTGAGGCATGACGGGGGCAGACCAGGTTCAGCTCTGTGGGCCTCGGTTTACCCATCTGCCCAATGGGGGCCAATTCCAGCCTGTGTCCGTCCCTCACCATCGCTCCATGTGTAAAGGCCAATGCAGAAATGACAGGGCTGCTTTCCACTATTTATTCATTTAACCCTGGAATAAATGTCCAATCGAGGTTCGTGCTGGGATGAAGCCCCAGGGAATGTTCTCCGAGCCGCTTTGCCTTTTCTAACCTCATCCAAACAATTTTTCTTGTTTCCATGAAAGAAAACCCAACGCTTCATTTAGCAAATTAACCTCCAATGTTAGGAATGATTTCTTCACAGCCACAGGGAGGCTGTCGGGTTATGTCAAAGTACGGTTCAGCGGGGGAGGCTAAAAGCCAATCTATTGGAAAAGCAATCTGGATTTATCTGAAAACGAGATTTATCCTTGGGAGAGCAGGAGGCCGAGCCGGGGATTGGAGAGGGCTCACAGATCAATCCTCTTTCGCCCTCTAAACTGCGAGTCCACGTTCCATCATTCCGAGTGCAGAGGGGCCAAAGCCTGTTCTAAGCAAAACAATAATCGTCTCCTCTGTAGGAAAACAGATGGGGAGGAAGGAGTATGCTAACCAGCACCGTAATGGGCGACGGCCCGCGTGCACAAGACGCCCAAGCCTGCTTCCTCGCCGCTCCATATGCTACATTAACTTTAGCCTCCGAGTAAGATTTCTACTCAGACGTGAAATAATTGTTCTTCTAACAACATGTGACAACAGGGAAATGGCCGGTATTAATACTGACACGTTTAAATCCATCCTAATGTGCATTGTGAGTGATTTCCCTAAACAACGTGGCAAATCTTAAAGGTGCAATCTCTCCCCAGTCCGGAGCTGAATTTAATCTATGTTACAAATTAGAACTCCAGAGCTGGAGGAGTAATTGATGCTTCCCTGCATGGGGGAGCACTGGACGTTTCCAATTATATTTATTACACAGGCTAAATGAAAGGAGAAGGTGCTTAGGGGAAGACTTGGAGAGGGAGAGAACTATTCTGGTTACTCTAACTGCTCTGAGAGCCTCCTCCTGCAGTCCTGCCATCTGGCTGGGCTGGAGATTGTCTGACGTGCCCCTGTCTGCAAGAGTTCTGCCAGCTGCAGACCTGTGCTCTCATTTGTAGTCTCATCCAAGCTGGGGATGGGATTCGTCTAAGCCAGGACATTTACACTCATGCACTAAAATGCAAAGAGTTTCGAGAAGGCTTCCCTTTTGCAAAGATGTTTCCATACCACCCCCCACCCCCCCCCACCCCCGATTTCAACATCCCAACAGCCACGGGATACAGACCAGGCTTCCCAAACCACAGCAGGCGTCAGATTCTCTGCAAGGCTGTTCATGGGGCTTGCTGGATCTTACCCTTGGATTTCCCTGATGCGGAGGTCTGGAGTGGGGGCCCAGAATGTGTGTCTGATTTGCACCTCCACCCCCCCCAGTGATGTTTTGAGGTGTCTGAGAATCACACTTGGAGAATCCTTCCCGCCCATCCTTAGGCAGGGGCCCTGCACATACCTGATGCTTCATCTGCTGCCGATACAGCAGGAAAGCCCTCTTCTGTTTCCCCCCACCTGCAGATGTGTGGTGCTGGAACCTTCCTGCCCCTCCTCTGGGAGATGCACCCTCCCCACGGGCCTCAGCTCACCCCAGGGAGGCTGCTCTTGCACCTGGGCTCAGCACAGTCTTCTCAGGAATTTCCCCCTTCCTTCCTCTTCAGGGTCTCAGAAAATGGTGCAGCCAGGGCCAGGCACCATGCTGAGCCGCTCAGTGTCCAGCAAGGCTGCCCTGCACATCCAGACACCCAGGAGAGCCGACACCAGGTCCCTCGCTGTGGTGAGGCCCATCCCCATCTCAGCTTCCATGGACCCCAGACTCCCTTATTCTCAGTTCACCATGCTCACGGCTGGTGCTGAGCCCGAGCAGTACTTTCCTCCTGTGCCTTCTGCCCTCTGGGGAATGATCTTGGCAGCCCAGTCGGAAATGCGCCAGACACTTTGGATTCCATCAAACAGGACTTTCCTCCTGATGTCAGCATGAAGGGTGGACAGTGTTTCGGTCACTTCTGCTTCACCCTAGCTCCAGGCCAGCTGGGCAATTCCTAACCGCCTGCAGTCCACCCCAAGTCCCTCTGCTTCCTCTCCATGCTCTCCTCTCACCAGTCCCCTTCTGGAACATGCAGAGGAGAGAGGTCCCCTAGACACACAGGCTGCTCCAAGTGGCCCCAAAACAGAGTGAATGTCTTTGCACACATGCACATACACACACACATGCACACACACTCACGCACGTGCACGCACACACACACATGCAGACATGCACATACACACATGCACACATGCACATACACACATGCACACATGCACATACCTGCATACATGCACATGCACATACACACACACGCACACATGCTGCTCTCTGTTGCGTTATCTGGGCTTCTGGGTAGAATTTTGTGGGAAGTGAAGACAACACAACCCCGCTGCTTGTGTTACAGATGTGGAAAGTAGGGACTCCGAAATCATGTGTCTTCACAAAGGGACAACACCAGCAGGTGACGCCTGCTCTCTCCTCCCCTGGTCTCCTCATCCTCCTCATTCTCACTCCTAATATCCTTTAAATATACTATAATGCTTAATAACTTGTTTTCACATAAACCGTTGTTATTGATTCAAGGTAAAGCAACTCTGGAGGCAGGAGGATCCCTTGAGCCCAGGGGTTCAAGTCAGCCTGGACAACACAGTAAGACCCCATCTCAAAAAAAAAAAAAATCACTTGGAGAAAATTTAAAATTTTTAAGTACACAAAGTCCAGTATAATGAGCATTCCCCAATAGTGTCCTGGGCTAGAGATGTTCCCTGTTCCCTGGTCACCTCCCACTAGAATCTCAGGAGCCACCTTCCCTTAGAGATCTGTCTGCACCATGGAGTCTACACCACAATGCTCAGAGTAAATGCCTTCTATGGTTTTCTTTTCCTGATGGAGTCAGGTTGGCAAGACAGTGTCCATGGTGATGGCAGCCCTTGGTAGACCCGCCCTCCTGTTCTCCAGGGGCATGGCAAAGAAGAAGACTCAAGCCCGGGTTCTGACCTCCTGCCTCCCTGGCTGACTCTGGGACCTTCCTGGTTCAAGTTCACGTGGATTTCCCAGCCCAGAAGATTTTGCAGCTGACAGAGCACATCCCACCTGTCTTGGAGCATCCTCCACCATGGTGCTCAAGATTCAGCCCCCAAGCGTCCCTGCGGCATGCCTCTCAGGGATCCTGCCCATCTCGGGTGTCACGGGAGAGAAGACCATCGGGTTCCTCCAAACAAACCATCTGCTGGCCTCTGGAATCACTCTGGCCCCACATCCAGGGCACCCAGCAGACCTCCTTTATGATGACCCAGTTCTCTCATCTCTGAAACCTGCTTCTCCAAAACACGGGAACCTCCTCTCTCTCCTGTGTGTTCAGCCCAGACCAACAAATCCCGAAGCCCAACCTGCCCCTTTATGAGGACCAGGCAGATCAAACCCCCTCACTCTGCAGTGATATCTCACTCTTCACATGCCCACAAGAAAGAGGGCAAGCTGACCACCTTGTTGTGGGGACAGGTTCAGCCACCTCCCTGCCACCCTCTTGGTGGCATCCTGACAAGGAGAAAAGAAGATGGCTAAATGCTGATGCCCAGCCCCTGCTGGGCCGTGGTGGGGACAGGCAGATGGCAGGCGGGACTCTGGCACATGGTCCTGCTGCTGGGCTCCTTCTGCTCCACCTCCTCCCAGGACTGTGCTGCCCTCCTCTGAGCACAGCCCCCCGCACTCCAGGCAGCAGCAGGTTCTGGCTCCTCCTTAAGTTTTTTCTACAAAATCATTATTAAGAACCAATTGCCTCAAGTTCCAGGATCCTCGTCCTCTTTCCCAGACTGGGTGCCTTGAGTGAACTGGGTGCCTTGCTCCTCCTTCCCCCCTCTGGGCCCTGAACAGACACGTGGAAGGAGCGCCCCACACCTACAATGAGCGGGTATTTCAATCTTATCCTATTATCTAAAACACATTCAGGACGTTCCTACAAAGGTACAAAGGATTCTTACCCTGGAACAATGGCCAAGCCCTTTGGACTGTGCCACATTCTGGATTTTTCCCTCTTTCTTCCTCATTTTCCCATCTGTGCATGGCTTGGTCCCTTTCCTGGCGCCATGACACCTGAGACGGAGTTATCAAGAGCAGAAACCGACTGGGCTCAGTTCTGAAGGCTGGGAAGTCCAACAACAGGGCACGGGCACCTGGCAAGAGCCTCCAGCTGTGGCAGAGGCCAAGCTCACTCCACTAACAGTCGCACTCTCAATAACCAGCCCATGCTGGCAGCGAGGCACTGACCCTCGGAAGCGGGCAGAGTCCTCGTGGGCCTGATTTCCTCCTAGAGGTCCCCCTTCTGGGCCCCGCTGCAGTGGCACTCCAACTTCAGCATGAGTTGAGGTGGGACTTCCAAGCCATAGTGATGCTTTGGCTTTTTCTTTTGCACAACGGCTTCTGGAAGGAATGGGACGAATGTCAGATGCTGTCAGGGAAGGGGCACCTCACAACATGACTCACCAGGCTGCATGGGGTGGGGACGGGGATAGCACAGCCCACGCTGGAGATCTCGTCCCAGGAAGAATTCTGAGCACCAAACCTCAGCCCTGCCCCCGCCTTGGGGGCTGGGAGTGAGAGAAGCTCAATTGTGACACATTTTTATAAAGAATGCTAAATGATATGCCAGTGACATTAATAGCAATCAGGCTTGTGGAACTTGGGATCTAATGGCTCGTAAATGAGATGCAAGTTCATTTCTACAGACCCACTATAATAAACTAATTATTTTGGAACTCTCCAATTATGCATTTTTCAAAAAGCTGAATTGCATTAAAAACATGTTATGGCTTTATAGATTTTGTCTGTAGGGAGAGAAGGAGACACATCTGCTCCACAAGTGCCCAGAGAGAGAGGAGAGAAAGGAGAGAGAGAGAGAGAGAGAGAGAGAGAGAGAGAGAGAGAGAGAGAGAGAGAGAGAAAAGGAGAGAGAGAGAGAAAAGGAGAGAGAGACAGTCCCAGGCAATAGATAAAGAATAAACCAGCTGCCAAGTGACAGATGTAGCCGAGGAGGACAAAGAGCTGTCAGTCTTCTCATCAATTACAGCTGGTCGCTAACCCACGAGAGCAAATTGCCACAGCCATCAGAGATGGCTCTGTGAGAATTATGGAGCTGAGCTCTCTCCTGATTTATTCAGTGCCTGGGGTGCAGAAGGGTGTCTGTTGCTCTGGGATTAAGATTTCTGTGCTCAAAGCCATCCAGAAGCTCAGGGACAGCCCGTCAGTGTCAGGAACACTCAGTCTCTGAGTCTCCTGGTGGGAGAAGATGTGTGACAGACCTGCCACATGAGACAGAGGAGCTGACATGCCCACCGAGGCCTGGGGGCAGCTGCGGGGATAGGGGGAGGGGCTGACACGCCAGCTACCATCACTGTCAAGTAATTAATGGGAGGGTCTGTAGAAGGGCAGGGCCCTGCAGGTGCATCCCCACCCCCTCCTGGATTACCTGAGTGTCCAGGCAGGTGGAAATCCCAGCCCCCAAGCTTGTCTCCCACGGGAGAGGCCCATGCTTAACCAGGTTGCTTAACCTGGCCTGTGGGGGGGGGTATTGTTTAAGGTTTATTCTTTTTCCTTCTATAAAACATTATATGTTAATTGTAAAATAATGGGTGCTCCCACTCCACAATCACACCATAAATAAGGCTCTCATTGCTTTTCTTTCCTGATTGATAACAGAATCTCAGAGGTGGGGTGTAACTCAGTGGTGGAATGGTTTGCCTAGCATGCAGGAATCCCTGGGTTCAATCCTGAGAAGCCTGAAGTGAAACTAAGGTGCTTATAGCCTCCTGGTGGCCACCAGGTGTGAGCAGTGTGTTGACATCCCCCTCTAGCAGAGAGGAAAAAACCCAGGGATTTGTGAAACAGAGCACACTCGCCCCCACCCACGGATAAGGAACCCCGCCCCCCCCCCAACAACATCCCCCTCTTTCTTTCTTGAGCTGCATATGTGAGGATGTCCTGTTTCTTCTGCCCCAGAATATGCATTATTTTCCTCTTTTTATAACTTTAACAGATGTAAAATTCAGATGTGTGTTTAATTGATCTATACTGGCTTTAACATCATGATCAAATCGCTTTCAATAGTTACATTACATATTTTATAGGTATTATGATA